GACTGAAGAGCTGATTAGGTCTTGTCACTCATAAAGAGTACAGTGAATCATATTTTTCATTCTTTAGATATCACATTCCTTGTGGCACTTAATAACAATCCAGATGGCATCAGGATGAAGCCTACAGAGAACAGAGGCGGCACACATAAGCAGTGCCACTGACATGTACTTACATTTGGATTCATTCTTCTGCATAATAAATACATCTTTGTATTTAAATGATTAAGTCGTGTCCCCCTCAATATCAGGTTTGGGTATTAGTATATATGTAAATTATTGTGACATTTATGATAAGCTATTTGATTCTGATTCTAGGCTGCCTTTTTAAGAGCTGGCCCAGGAGAACAGATTGAAATGAGTTTATGAAGCGAACTCTGGCTCATTTACAATCTTGTTTTCTGTTGATCAGTAAGCATTGTTCATGGTAGATAAACAAAATAAGTTAAATTAAATTTTAAATTTTTTCAATAATGTTAGCATGCCTGGGGGGGGGGGCAGCCAATTGACCTCAGACCCCCAGAGGATTCTTTTCTCCCTACTTGGGAGTTTTTGGTTCCTCCGTTGTCATCTGGCACTCTTTCATTTCTTGGTCTTCCCTTCCCCCAATTTTTGTATTATTCTGTCTTAATGCTGTACTGTATCACAACACACCCATGTAAAGCACCTTGGGGCGACTCTGATGTGAAACATGCTATATAAAAATAAATTGAACTGAAAATTAATAAATACATTTAACTCTCTCCTACACCACCGATCAGCGGATACCATAACGCGGTCAGCAGTCAGTGTGGACAGCCTGGCTTCGCTCTCTGTTGTAATGGCTGGATAACTGAAGTGGCTGCAGGTATCTGACACATCGGGCTACATTGCCAATAAGCCGTGTGCCGCTACGTGAATCTGACATGGGGTGCGTCACAATCACAACCTGTGCCTGTGTTAAGCTTTGGTCGGCCAGGCCCGAACGGCCTTGTCCCGCCGGCAAAACCTCTCACGTTCTTTCCACACTAAGGTTCCACACAGTTGCGCGATTTGTCCCATCAGCAGAACCTTTTACGTTCTTTCCGTGCTAAGGTTCCAAGCAGGCACGGTTTGGGCCTGCCAGCTGAGCCTCTCACGTTCTTTCCACACTAAGGTTCCACGCAGCTGCACGGTTTGTCCAGCCAGCAGAGCCTTTTACACTCTTTCCGTACAAAGGTTCCACGCTGTTGCACAGGTGCTGCCATCTCTGCCAGCAGCCCTGCGTTCTCTGGGCCAGTTCCACATCCCACCACACTGAAAAAGGCCACCCCTCCACGGAATTCCCTGCGAATCTTCTCACCAAGCCACAGTCGTCCGGGGTGGCCTTGGTTTACCCCCCGAAGCTCGAAATCCAGGACGTGCTGTATGAGAGGAGCTACTGTGGGTGCCTCAGTTGGGTCTCTCCGAAACATGGACAACCAACTAATCCAGGGGAACAAGGGCCACTTTTTCCATTGCGCTCCGCAGTCCGTACAGCTCTGACAAGCATGAACTGGGAAACATAATACCTCTCTCCTATAATCCAGCCACCAGATGAATAATTGATTCTGAGAAAAAGCATACTTCAAAATTCTCCTCCATAACAGAACATCATCAAAGTCATTCAGTTGGGCATAGTGTGTCCACACCATGCTGTTGGTGATTGGAGCTAAAACGTTCTCTCGATGCGATTTTTGGACAACGTTATCAGTGAGACAGCCAGGAAATACTTTTCATCTGGGTTGTGAGTGGGATGTGTGTGTGGTGGAGGGTGGCTGGAAGAGCAAACTTAATAAACCGTTCTGAATCACAGGAGTACATTTCAGGAGGTCGGGGTGGGGTGGGGTGGGGGATTTAAACCTGAATTCTATGCCTGGCACCACAAGAGCTTTATGTAGGGCTCTTACCTTGTGCATGGCGCCATGTCTTATGGGAGTTTGTGGGTAAGACTACGTGGTCAGTTCTAATCTGACTACTTATTGTGACCACCGTGTGGGTCCGAAATAGCTTTTACTGTCTAAACAATATCAGTGTCAACTGTCTGAAGCTAATGCCCGCCAGAGCGGCTAAATTTACCTGCGGTTATAAACTGTTCTCTGCCTTTCCTACAGACTTTTTTTCTTAAACTGTGTATGTTTCTCTAGAGCTAAAGAGAAGTGTCCCTTATATATTGTTTGTGTTTTTCTTCCCCCAACCCTCCGCTGCAGTTCCTGCGTCAGAGCAGGCAAGGCTATTGAGGCGAGACTGAGATATTTGTGCTTGTCTTCGTTGCAGATGAATGATGATAGCAATTAGTCATTTGAGTGCAAGTATACTTTCAAGACTGTTTAGGAATTCTTGTGTAGTCTGCTTTTGTTTTTGTAAACCAATAGCTGGAATTGTGCACTGATATTATATCCGCCACTTCCAGCCTGATTTTTTATTGAATCGTGCTGGGAAGGAAGATCAGAGTAAAACTGAAAATGGATTCCCTTTTTAAGGGAAAAGACCCATTATCTGTTATCATCTGTTCAGTGGACATTTTTGTTTACCAAAGCCATGTACACAGTACCTGTTTACACAACTGTATATTTTAATTAAACAATTAACGTTACGTACTTCCATGGGACCCCCTTCCAATCACCTTCTAGTCAATTCAATAACTACAGTTATTAAAATCACAATTATACTAACACTATTGACATTATTGCTGAGTAAAAATACTACGTCACACCATTTGAGGGAAATTATGTTATATTGTACCTATATTATCTGTATAAATGACTTTAGCTACTTTGCTACTGTAAACACAAAGGGAAGGACCAAAACTAATGAGTTATAATCTAGAGCACAGCAGCACAGACAAAGCATTTATGGGTAACAAACAAAAGCAGAGATGATGCTCTATTCTTAAAGATAATGTGGCAAATGCAAACAGGAGATCAGAAGGCAGTGAACAAATGTGGGAAAGGAGATGATCTAAGTCAGCGTTTCTATGCTCTCCTCCTGTTGGACAGGTTTCTTCCAACAGTACAAAGACATGTAGTAACATGTCATGTGTGTATGTGTGTGTGTGCATGGATTATGTTTGTATTACATTGTGGGGACCAAATGTTCCCCACAATGTAACAAAAACCTGTTATTTTGATGTAGTGGGGACCATTTTTCAATGCAATCAAAAAATTAAAAATGCCAAAATCTTGTTTTTTGTTTGTTTGCTCCTGATTAAGATTAGGGCTGGGTTTGGGTTATGGTCATCATTGCTGGGATTAGGGTTTTCCCATAGAAATGAATGGAGAGTCCCCACAAAGATATAAATACAAGCATGTGTGTGTATGTGTGTGTGTGTGTGTGTGTGTGTGTGTGTGTGTGTGTGTGTGTGTGGGTACCCCCGCATGGGACAGCCCTCCCACCCACCAGTGACCCTGACCTGGTTAAGTGGTTGAAAGATGGATGGATGGATGACCGGGCAGGTGAATATTCCTTTCTGTTAATCATAAACCTGTACCGATGCTAAATAAGTGACAGCTTAAAATCAGAAATGTTAAATCAGCATTTGAAAGCTATGTTGAGTGTTTTCTGATGACCAAATGTTGCTAAAATATGTCTGAAAATTAATGAAACTCTTTGGTGACAACAAATTATTATAATTATTATTATTTATTATTATTATTATTATTATTGCATCAATGTCTCCTTTTCTTATTTCCAATGTAATTATGGTTATTGGGCAAATAGGTTTGTATCTCTGAACGAACAAATTTTTTATTCAGGGATCAAACTTTTGCAACAAAAAGACAATATTTTGTATCATTTTGGAAGGCTTGTGTATTCCTTCTTCTCATCCCTGCTGCCCTGTTACTTTCTACATCACATTCAAAACAAGCAATATGTATACATATTTTACAAGGAAAAACAGGAGTGCGTGGTTACAATCGTTAAAGTGTGCTGTGTGCGCTGTCAGTGAATTCTGACTTGCAGAGACGTTCCTTCATAGCACACGCAGACTTAGAAGGCTGTATGGCACGGCAGTCCTCATATAGTACAGATCTCAGGCGGCTGATCCCCTTTCTGAATGACGTAACTCCTCGCTTTAATGTATCAGTACAAAATATATGCGCACAAACGCAGAATTTAAATATAAGACAGGGTATAACATTTTTCAATGGTGCAGTTTTCTGTCCACCTACTCCAGTTAATCCGATACCGCACATGACAATGCAGCTCCGTCTAATGTCGAATATATATTGAGCACGGTGCTAAATGTAGGCTCGGATCTAAACTTTGCACATACGGGGCAGAGCATACGTGAAACTGCTAAAAGAATCCGAACTGCACTACTGGCAAGCAATTGGAACCCCCAGTGAAGTTCCAGCAGAAACCTCCAGTGCCGTTCCAAAACGCAGGACAGTTGAACTGGTCCCACCAATGCGGGTACCTGTAGCTATGAAGGTAATGCAGACCTTCTCATACACAGGAGACCTAACAATATTAGCGCGAAGCAGCTGCATGCTTCATAGGGGAAAATTCACTTATATCACGAATGAGTGGAATGATACGGATAAACACGTGTCCTGGAGTTACCGGCATAGCATACAATGCACCATCTCATTCAAATGCATTTAACATTTTACAACATTAAGCTACCAAGTTATTTTCTGAGAATACTGTTTGATTAAAGAGCCCTGAGGACATTTCCTGTTGAAACCAGCAGACCATATCAACTTGTCTGACATGTTTTTTTGGACAGCTGCACTGGTTTGCGTTATTGCTCCGGTAGATTTTTTTTTGGGGACAATACAAGCTAATATCTTCTAACATCTCCTGGAGAGCAATGCCGACTAGTTAAGCTGCCCAAAAATATTCTGAAATCAGCTGAAAATATTGTTGTAATGAATTGGTGATTGATGGGGGAATGCTGCAATTTCCCCTACGGAAACATGCTATACTGGTGTCACACATTTTGCAAATAAAACATGAATCACGAAAACAATGGTAAAAGAAAACAAACTTAGTAAACTTACAGCCAGTTGCTCGCATTCGCGGAGAACAGCGCTAGAATTAGCATCAGCAGTGACCTTAGCAAGTACTCTGGTGACATCTTGAGTAGGAGATAACCCAGTTTAAGCGCACAATCCTCAGCTGGAGTGATTTTATCCGCCGGCTTAGACTTTTATATTATTTTCGCGGTGGACGGTGAAGATCAGTTCATCCTTTTTAAACAAGGGATCCATCCCCGGGCTTCCTCTTCAATGAGGCGCAGGTCTTGCCACTGCGGATGTCCTTACCTATTAGACGAAACCGGTGCTATATAAGTCGCAAACTCAATGTCACCTCATCGGCCGAGGTAAATTCGGTGCATTCAATTGACTAAATTCTAATTCTCTTCCGTTTTCTTATAACCCGCCCGTAACAAGTCTTTTGGTTTACTTGTTCTATATGTTGTCCATGTACGCACGTAAGTGTTAATATATTGCTATGAGTTGCTTCCTCCGTCGTGATCTTGCATGAGCGGCGGCTTCGCTTGCCATTCTCTCCCAGTCGGGCGTGTTGATCTTTTATGTAACCTTACGCTGTGCCTGATAACATCGGGAGATGACACTGCGCGAAGGACGCCAAACCGAGTTTAGAAACTCCTGCTGGACTTAGCAGGGGCGGTGCCATTTGTCAGGGAAGTTTTTCTGTTTTTTTCTTTTTCTGATGGGTAAGTGAGAAGAAGGTGGAGTTTAGCTCACTATGAAACGCACGATGCATTTTACGACTCGGTGACCCATGTGTTGTTGAAAGTCACTCGTAAAAGGATGTCATAATGTCAGTCTATGGTAAAAAAAAAAAAAAGCTGAAAGAAAAGAAAAGGGGAAAAAAACCCTTAACACCGCCAATTTCTTAACTATCACCGTCTCCAGATTGTCCTTAAATAACAGTATCCTTAACGAAAGGAATTCCATTTGTTATATTGCCAAATTAACCCATCAACATCACCCACTGGATCAGTAAAACTTCATTGTTGCTTAATGCCTTAGTAAACGTGGTAACAATGGTTATTTAGGTCCGTTTATTTTGCACAAAGCTTTAACTGTAACAAAGACCAAAACATGGATATATAAGTACAATTTCAGAAATATCTTTTTACGAATAAAACTGGGGTTCAGGTTTCCTTTGAGATGTGGTTTAAAGCGTGCATGAAAAAATGGCGTTAACTTGGGTTGTTATTCAACTGCCAACTGTTTTATTATATTATACAAATGAAATAACGTGTGTGTGCAGGGCTCCGCCCAGGCTCTCTAGTGTGTTAATTTGTTTAGTTTCAAAGTGCTGAAGAAAATCTAAATTCAGCTTCAGTGAGGTCACCCTAATATATTTCATATAACAGTTAACATTATAAACGGTGTCCTGAATAAAAGGCATGCTGGGGACAGGGGATGCAGGAGCTAAAGGCTATAATAGGATCTGTTACTTAAAATAATGAATAGGCCTGTGTTAGATCTGACGCAGTACAACTGCCACATCCACAGGAAGTGTCACTTTCCTTCATGCAAAAATATCGGTGAACGTCATGTTGAAAATTCAAGAACGTCTCGATAAAAATCGTCCGCTCAGTCGTGGACGTTCTTCAGTCTGGGAAGCATGTAACTGCAGAAGAAGGTACCACAGTCACCAACAGGGGGAGGAAGTGAGTAAAGTGTGCTGGGACCCTGAAACATAACGACGGCCATTGATCTGGACCATGTGCAAATATGTCAGGTTACTGTTTCTATTGTTATAATGCCCTTTAAATTATTATCGTCATAATCACCATCATCATCATCATAATCGTTATTATTATTATTACTTTAGTCATTTAAAAAATTGCTTTCTTCATACCGTCCATCCATCCATTTTCCACACCCACTTGTCCCATTCAGGGTCAAGGAGGTTCAGATCCTACCCAGGAAGCTACAGGCACGAGGGAAGGAACAACCCAGGATGGGATGCCAACCGGTCACAGGACAAACAGTGCATGTTTGTTTTTGGTGGTTTAAAAAATGTGACTAATGAGAGTCCACAACTATAAACGTAACTTACTAGACAACAGTTATTGCATATACAAGAATAAACTCAGTGCAGTTATTAATTATGAGCAAAGGTTATCTAAGTGATCGATTCACGTATGCTTTGAAAATGAAACATTTTAGGTCAATTAAAGTTTCTGGAGCCTCAGTGCAACAGTACGGAATTAACATTATGTTAACATTGCGAATACATTATATCACAGAGGTCAGTGATTGCTCAGAATTGGTTATCTTGTTGGATTTTTACCACTGTACCTGATTTGAGACAGAACCCGTCTGACATTTGCAGTGTAAACTCTGTCTCTCTTCCTCGAAGGTTTTGCTTCTACCTGCTTTTTGCCCTTTTCAAATCAAGTAATGCTAATCTTTCGTTTGATTCAACCTCAAAAATGAATTTAATGAAAGCGTAAGTCTATGCAAAAGGAACTTTAGAATGAATATAAATATCACATTATTTTTAAGTAAAAGGAAAGCACATAATATGAAGGTATCATTGATTTGTTTTGTGCAGTTCGTGCTGTTTTATATGACAAAGCACATTATGTGTTTCTATTAATACCTTAAGTTACTTTCTATATCTTAATATCATTAATGATTATGAGTTTTATTATTTATTTTTGTTCACACATATTCATTAACATACCACTGCAGCGCACCAGTCTAGTATAACATTATACTTTGCTTGTACATTATCCATTGTCTGTAGATAGCTAACCAGTCATAGCCAACCTGCTAGTATACCCCATCATATGGTGCTAATAGAAAAAAAACATTTTCATTACTTGAAGGCTGAATATTGTTGCCAGTGTTGTGTAGGCGCAGACAGATGGGCATGTAAGAGATGCCTAGTGAGTATTTCTTAGGGGTGTAAAATTATACAGTGGGGCAGACCTCACTGGCCTCTGCTCACAGATGGGAGACACCGTCCTGTTTTAAACAGAAGACATTACTGGCCTGGGGGGTGACTATCACCTGACTGGGATAAAGCAGTTACTTAATAACTGTAGCGACCCCCTATCTAGCCACCCAAAGGCCTCACTGACTTCTCTGTTTCCTCACCCATCTGGGTGGGGAATTTTTTATTCCCCCATTATTATACATGAAAAACAAAAACACCCTGCTTGTTTTTCATTTCGCTTCCACCACAAAGACAATTCAGATAAGGTTATAGCTCAGCTGAACTGGGGGCAGTGTTGGTGCAGTGTTGGTGCAGTACCCATGCTGCTTGACGACGCAAGGCAGGATGGGAAGTCGAGGACTGGACTAACGCCAGAATACTCCCTGGACTTCTTATAGGTCTATTATATGCAGACTGGACCACTTCCAAGACTGAGCAGCATTTTGAAGCTAATTGGACTAATTATGACAAAGGAGGCTAGCTTGTCTCGTTTGTGAGTATACGGTCTTCCTTGCTCTCAATGGCCGACGCAAAACGAAAGCAACATCAGTCAGTAAGTGTTGAGTGTTACAATGTTTCAGTCAGATTTAAAAATAATTTTTTCATCATTTTACACCGAGGAACAATAATATATAAACGTTACTAAAAAAATAACTTTACTAGAGATAAGTTGACTTGGAGTAACTATCAGTACTACTGTTATGGTTACTACTACTGTAATAATAATAATGCATCTTTGACTGTTTATCAAGGAGAGAGTCTCAGTGAGCCTGAAGCCAAATAATAATAATAATAGCAACAACAGCAACAAATCTCACACAACACATTTGGGTTTATTTCATATATTTATTAAGATGACATGTGCAGATCTTAACTCCACTTGCATGGTGCGTGAGATGTTTTCAATTAGCTGTTAAATTATCTCATTGAGTCCATGTAAATGCTTTCCAGCAGCGTGGCTCGGTGAGGAATTTTCCAGCTGTTTTCTCGGAAGATAGAGGGACGCGGAAGCAGGTTTCTTCAGAGGTAGTGACATGTGACTGGAACAGAGAGGTATCTCTGTTGTGACACACTGGTCCAGCAAAACCACATCAATCATCTCCTTCCCGACACCCCCCTGCACATCAGCCCGTTACTTCAGTATTTATTGCATACTATTTTAGAATCATCATGCCTGTTTTTCTTCCATTGAATCATAATTTTTTTTCTAATTTGTTCATTTTATTGGCCCGTGGTGCTCAGTCATAAATAACAAAGCAATCTAACATTGTCTGGTCTAATTGTTTTCTGTCAACGTCTCCATCCCCTCTGTTTTTTTCCTCCCTTGAAATAGCTCAGGGCTTGATGTTTTAACTATTTTCCCATAAACCCCATAAAAAAAAATTGGCGAGCGTCTGAAGCATGCATCTTCTGCGCCTTCGGTGAAATCCAATAGGTGAAAAATCTTTATCTTCTCGATTGAAATGAACATCAGAGCGATCTTTTAATTTACCGGGACATAAGAAGAAGAGGAGCATGTGAGTCACTGTAGGAAATCTTTTACTAAGAGGTGTGTTGTGGTGGGGGTCAGTGGTGGTCGAGGATGGGGGGGGGCTGTGCGTTGACCTCTGATACCAGGAAAAAGTTCATACACCCTTTCTTTCCCACTCTTTCCCAGACGGCGGATAACAGTCAAATCCAAACCCAAGAAAGCATATGAATTGAGGGTCCCATTATTTTCTAATTAACTGCCTTTTTCTTCTTGCCTCACTGAGGCAGCGAGCCGGAAATGCGAGGTCGAGCTCATAATGATTAGTTGGTGCAGAGCGCCATTGAAGCCAGGCCTCATGTTGGGCCTTTGTCGTCAGATTCATTTGGCTTTAGCTGCCTCCCAAAAGAGGAAAGTTTTCTGTCCTCACGCAGACCTCAGATATGGCACAATAACTTCACACTGGGCGGAGATGGATTTTAGTCACTCAATCCTCAAACAAAGAGACACAGAAATAATAGGATTTTATAGCTTCTTTGACCCTGTCTTCAGTGTGCTGTCTCCCTTTCAAAACACCGTGAAAGAAATACTGAAATCCCTTTCGGCCACGTCTTAAAATTGCAACTGTGAACAGTGGAACTCACGGCCCAATGGCTATTGCTCCTTTGATGGCCTATTGAAGCCTGTTCTTAAATCAAGCAAAGAAAATTGGGGCTATTACATTCTTTAGAGACAAAGATCTTTGATATGTAAATGGTAAGTGCATCCAAGCAACAGGTAGGAGTCTGCGTGTCTGAGTGAAAAGGAATGTTTCCCGGCTTCGAACGTTTTACACTGAAATTCATGTCAGGTTGTGTGCCAGTCATCTAGTTAGTGTAATCAATAAGGAAAGTGGCACCTACCACAATGGGACTTGGAGAACTGGCATTTCAGTCACTGGCATTTCAGTCACTGGCATTTCAGTCACCCATCACCTGAATCGCTTGTAGCAAAGGCTTCACTGTCTTTGCAAGCACTAGCTAAATGAGATACACAAGAGATCAGATTACCAGAATGGGCATTGCATTGAACACCTGGGAAATCTTTTATTCATACACCTTTCTCCACATTTAATTATGTCCCTTTAAATAGAGGCGTGGTTAAAACCCTGGGTATTAGTCGTCACACTAAGCGGGACCAAAATGTATTGCACAACTTCTGACAGAGGCAAGGCCTCGGGGGGGGGGCAGGCCCTTCGTCCTGACTGCTGTC